TTCTTTCTGCCTCAGCCTCCCCAGTAGGCTGGGACTACAGGCACTCACCACCACACACGGCCTATTTTTTTTTTGTATTTTTTAGTAGAGATGGGAGTTTACCATATTGGGCCGGCTGGTCCGCGAACTCCTGACCTCATGTCCACCCGCCTTGGCCTCTTCAAGTTGCTGGGATTACGTGTGAGCCACTGTGCCTGGCCTTTTGTTCTTTTTTTTCCAATTCCATCTCGCTTTGTAAAGACCTTAAACTGGTGTCTTGGTGTTTTCAACATATTAGTTATTGGAGGCTATGAACATGAGCAAAGCCTGTGATGGGTAGCTCTTAGCGGGGAAACAGGGTGCTATCCCTTGCTGTACATAGCATCGGAAGCAGTGCCTTTTCCTCAGTATGCCACGGCGCTAGCAGATGCAGTGGCAGCATCAGAGAATCTTCATGACTCCAAAGTGCCTTACATTCTCCCTGTACTTTTATCACCAACGTCAGTAAATTGTTTCTTCGCCATGGTGATTGCTTTCCATTTTTACAATTTTAATCATTTAAAGGTGTAAAATTCCATCTATTTTCTTCCTTAACTTCAAATGACAGATAAAGCTGTATGTTTATTGTGTATAACATGATGTTTTGAAGTATTATTATGGCTGTGTGAATGAAATAAACCTTAGCTAGTTAACTTATGTATTACCTCACAGTTATCATTTGGGGGAGAACACTTTATATCCACTCTCTTTAGCCAATTTTCAGGAATACACTGTTATTAACGTATGCATCCTATATACTGAAATCTACCTCATGTTAACACACACATGATATGAATTAACCCATCATTAACATACACGAGATGGTTCACTATGGAAACTTCAGGACATGCTGGGCATAGTGGCAATCACACCCTGTAATCCCAACACTTGGAGGGCCAAGGTGGGTGGGGGTCACCTGGGTCAGGAGTTCGGAGACCACCTGGCCAACATAGCAAACCCATTCTTCTACTAAAATACAAAATTAGCCAGGCGTGGTGGCAGGCCACCTGTCATCCTGCCCTCAGGGCTGAGGCAGGGGAATTGCTTGAACCTGGGAGTTGGAGGTTGCAGTGAGCTTAGATTGCCGCCACTGCCTTCCAGCCTGGGCAAAAGAAACAGATTCCATCTCAAAAAAAAAAAAAAAAAAAAGTTTAAAGTATATTCATAGCTTCTTTAATATGAGTTATGTCTTGGCTTAATTGACCTGAGTAGAAACCTAGAAAGTCAATGTCTGAGGCAGGGCGTGGTGGCTCACGCCTGTAATCCCAGCTCCTTGAGAGGCCAGGGTGGGCAGATCATGAGGTCGGGAGTTCAAGACCAGACTGAGCAATATGATGAATCCCCGTCTCTACTGAAAATACCAACAAATTAGCCGGGTGTGGTAGCGCGCGCCTGTAGTCCCACCTACTCTGGAGGCTGAAGCAGGAGAATCGCTTGAACCTGGGAGGCAGAGGTTGCAGTGAGCTGAGATTGCGCCACTGCACTCCAGCCTGGGCAACAGAGCGAGACTCCATCTCAGAAAAAAAAAAGAAAGAAAAAGAAAAAAAAAAAGAATGTCAACGTCTGTCTAACATTTCAATAGGTCGTATGGCCATGTTTACAATACAGTTTCTGTTTTCCCTTAATCTCTCATCATCATTGAGTTGTGGATTTTTTGGTTTGCTTTTGCATTGTTGTTTATTTGTTTCCAAGCACAATACAGTAAATGCCAAGAAATGCTTTCCAGGAAAGCATACTGCATTCCACTGTATAAGGATATTGTTTTTGTACATGACGTGCCCTGCTCTTGTCTTCACTGAACTTAAATTTTTTGTCACGTTATCTCCATTTCAATCTGGTTTTCTAGTCATACTCCTTTGATTTAGTAATTGTCTAATTCCCGACTCCTAGCTAGTGAGACCTCAGGGTTTGGGCCCAAACCCCAAACAAAGAGGCAGTTTCTGGGCAAATTGAGTGGAGACTAATGGAAGGGTAGGGGTAGGGAACTAGGGAGACAGTGATGTCCTGGTGAGTGTTCAACAGTCAGCACTCTGGGGAAAGAATTCCTGGGTTATAGCATTTGCCAGTTTCCATGCTATAAATGATCCCACCATGGCCAGTCCTCTGGCTCCCTTCCATCTCAGTAAATAAACATGGGAATTGGGGGAAAATTTGCACCATCAAGTGGTACAAATGGGCTATTTGTCCTCAAGCTGCAGTGGGACAAAGGGAGGTGGTGGAGGTGAGCAGAAGGCAAGTATGTTGGGGGAACGCAGCAGCAAGGCAGCAGAATATCCATCCGTTTATTCATTCATTCAGCTGATAGAAAGCTGAGTTTGAATGGTCGCTGTGCCACGTACTAACCATGACTTGGGGTAAGTTATTTTGTATTTCAGCCTCAATTTTCTCCCGTGTAAAATGGTGAAAATAGCAACAACTAACCCGACAGTGAAGATTAAATATTTATTTAAAGCATCACATGGACCAGTACAGTATAGTAGGGGCAAAGAACACAGCAGAGAAATAACTATTCAACATCCCTGCCCTCTTGAAGCCTCCACTCCAGTGAAGGAGGCAGGCCAAAGGCAAGTCAAGAAACACACAGCATGTTAGTTGGTGGTAAGGTCTGGAGAAGAAAAATCAGATGCCTTGAGGGACACAGTGACGTGGGGTGTGTGTGTCTGTGCCTGCCCACCTGTTAAAGCAGTACCAGCACAGAGCTGAGTAAACCAAGGGGGTGAGCCATGCATGTGTCTTGAAGAGCATTTGGACAGAGGGTTACCTTTAGTGCAGAGGCCTTGGGCAGCAATGTGTTTTGCAATCTCAGACAGAAAGAACCAAGGATCTGATTAGGAACCCGTATTGGTTTGTTCTCACATTACTGTAAGGAACTACCTGAGACTGGGTAATTTATGAGGAACATTGGTTTAATTGGCTCACAGTTCTGCAGGCTGTACAGGAAGCATGGCTGGGGAGGCCTCAGGAAACTTATAATCATGGTGGGAGGCAAACGGGAAGCAGACAGGTCTTCACATGGCAGAGCAGGAGAGAGAGCGAGGGAGGAAGTGCTACACAGTTTTAAACAACTAGATCTCATGAGGACTCACTCACAAGCATGAGAACAGCAAGGGGGAAACTCACTCCCAGGATCCAGTCACCTCCCCCCAGGCTCTTCCTCCAACACTGAAGGTTATAATTCGACATGAGATTTGGGTGGGGACACAGAGCCAAACCATATCAGAACCAATATGACAGAAATGGGGGGACTGGCCAGGCACGGTGGCTCACGCTTGTAATCCCAGCACTTTGGGAGGCCAAGGCGGGCAGATCCCTTGAGGTCAGGAGCCTCAAGACCAGCCTGGCCAACATGGTGAATCCCGTCTCTACTAAAAATACAAAATAAATTAGCTGGGCATGGTGGCGGGCATCTGTAATCCCAGCTACTTGGGAGGCTGAGGCAGGAGAATCACTTGAACAGGAGGCGAAGGTTACGGTGAACTGAGTTTGCACCACTGCACTCCAGCGTGGGCGACAGAGCAAGACTCTGTCTTTTAAAAAAAGAGAATAGAAAGACATGGGGGGACCATTTCTGAAGGTGTCCAGTGAGGGTGCAGCCTGAAGGTGTCCCCTGAGCTGAGGAAGGGAGGACTGAACACCTTTGAACAGGTGTCTGCAGCCCCGGGGGAGGGGTGCAGGATGCGTAGGTGCCAAGGCCACGCCGTCCTGCAGCAGGTTGTCCTTCCCGTCTTTCCTCTCCCCGATCCTTCTGCCAGCAGGCACGTGTCCTCAAAGGTAGGCCATCTTAAAAAGCAAACAAGAACATTTCAAAAACCTCCCGCCCTATTGCATCCTCGTCTAGCTCCTGCCTGGCTCTTGTCTGTCATTGGGGTACCCATGTTAACTGACCTCGGGTTTCACCTCTCCTGACTGCCCTTGTCCAGGTCACTTGTCCCTCGGAGACACCAAGTCTTTGTTGCTCTGCCCTCCTCAGAGAAGCTCAGCAGTTTGACACAGCTGCCCTTGTCTTCCTTCGGGAGCATCTCGTTCCTCTGGCATCTGGGGTCCCTTCCTCCCCAGGCCTGCTCACTGCTCCTCCTCTGCTTTGCTGGCTTCTCTGATGACCCTTCACCTTTCTCACCCCGTTCTCCTCCAGGATTAGCCGGGTGATGACTCCCAAAGTCTTGTTTGGAATATCATGCACCTGGAATTTCAGACTTGCAGGTATAGTTACCAGGAGCCATGTGGGTGGGTAAAAGCCATTTCAAACTCATACATAAACCAGGACCCACCTCCTACTTCCTTCCAGCTTGCTACTTCCCTGAAACCTACCCAGTCATTCAAGGCAGAAACCTGGGGATGATCCTGAGGCCTGTTTTCCCTTCCCCACTTCCTGTCTCCATTCCTGCCAAGTCGTCCTTGGTTACATGACTCTGCCCTGTCCACAGCGCTCGATGCCTCCCTCCTTCCGGCTTCAGCCGCCAGCCCGCCCCACCTGCAGCAGTGCAGCAGCCTCCCAACTAGTCTCTCGGCTGCTACTCTTCTTCCCAAATACTCTCTCTCCTCAGCAATCACAGAGACTGAAACCTAATCAAGCCCTGTTGCCTTCTTGCTTCGAGTTCTTCCGTGTTTCCTTCCTGGTCTGAAAAGCCCCTGGGATCTGGCCCTCATCCCTCCCTCCTCCCTTATCCTCATCTCTCATCCTCTGGGGGCCCTTTGCATGGCTGACACTACTACCTGGGCCACTTCCTGATACTCTCATGTCCAGCTCCTTTGCCTCCCTCAGGTCTCATGTCATGTAAGCATCAACTGCTCAGAGAAGCCACAGGAATATACAACCCCCATCCGTCTGCTGTCATTGCAGTGCATAGCACAGAATGCTGAGAGCTTCCTATTTCCTTGTCCATGTTCTGTATTTCTCCTCCCACAGGGATGAGAGCGGGACCTTTTCCATCCTGTTCACCACCATATCTCCAGCTTCTAGAAAGTGCCTGACACCTATTAGAGGCTCAGTAAAGACTTGTTGATTAATTAAGTGAATGCTTATTATTTTTACTACATTCTCCTAAAAATACATATTTATTAATGAATAACTGAATAAGAGAGAAAAATTATGAAGTGTTGTGATATTGCTTCATAACACTTCTCCCTCAAAGATGAATACTTATTAGTGCTAATCATTTTCTTGTTTTAAATAATTCTTTTTTTTTTTTTTGAGACAGAGTTTCACTCTTGTTGCACAGTGGTGCAATCTTGGCTTGCTGCAACCTCTGCCTTCCGGTTTCAAGCAATTCTTCTGCCTCAGCCTTCCGAGCATCTGGGATTACAGGCACCTGCCACCATGCCCGGCTAATGTTTGTGTTTTTAGTATAGACAGGGTTTCACCATGTTGGCCAGGCTAGTCTTGAGCTCCTGACCTCTTGATCTGCCCACCTCTGCCTCCCAAAGTGCTGGGATTACAGGTGTGAGCCACCGTGCCCGGCCTAAATAATTCTTTTTTCTATTAGAAATCATTCGCGCTTCTGAGATATTTCCCACTCTGAAAACCTGGAAAATGGAAAGTCTAGTTTCCATTTAATGAATGAATTAGTGGATTTGTTGCCCCAAGCAGTTCTTATTGCCCTTACTTTTATTTTCTTTTTAAGGGTTCTGAATCTCTGATTTATTAGGCAACACAGAAATAACAAGTTTAGATTGTATTACAAAAAGTGCTCAGGCCGGGCGCAGTGGCTCATGCCTGTAATCCCAGTACTTTGGGAGGCTGAGGCGGACGGATCACTTGAGGTCAGGAGTTTGAAATCGGCTGGCCAACATGGTGAAACCCTGCCTCTACTAAAAATATAAAAATTTGCTGGGCATGGTGGCCCACGCCTGTAATCCCAGCTACTCAGGAGGCTGAGGCAGGAGAATAGCTTGAATCCAGGAGGCGGAAGTTGCAGTGAGCCGAGATCTCGCCACTGCGCGCCAGCGTGGGTGACAGATTGAGACCTTGCCTCAAAAAAAAAAAAAGTGCTCAAACTGTTCATATACAGGACAGGACTGGGCTTGCTAGGGAGAGAAGGGGAAATTCTTCAGACTACAAGGACACAAGAACTCCTCATCCTAAACGAAGTATGAAGGTACACAGACAAGTTTCTTGTTGGTCAGAAAACAGAGAAATCCACAGTAACTATAATACATGCCTTAAAGAATAAGCATGTATTTATAGGAAGCAAACAAAGCTTTCCATAGAGAAACCACTTTCGCCAGATGATTATATGGACTTGGGTTTTGTTTCTGAATCTGTCACTTGGCAAATGAAGATACCATCTTCAGGATGTTCCATGTCATCCATTTCATTTAAGGCATAGGCTGTTTTAAGATTAGTTTAAAAGATAAGGACCTTTTTACAAAATAAAACATTACATTCACTTAAAATATTTGCAACATGAACTCTTGTACCCTGATCCTATGTTGTCACTCTGGGTTTCATGTATCTAATCATTGACTAGGAATCTATCTCAGCAGGTAATCCAAAAATCATTGACTAGTTTGTAGATTATGCTTTCCTGCTCACATTTGAACACACCTGGTTGTAGTCTGGTAAGAGGTCATCAAGGGCTACATCACTGTAGGTTGCCAGGAGACCAGTAGTTCTTAATCCTGACTGCACTTGAGAAGCTCCTGGGAAGATTTAAGAATATTGATTGATGCCGGACTCCCCATCAGACCCAGTGAACGTAATGTCTGGGGATAAGTCTTGGGTACCCCAAGTGCTTCTCATGTATCGCCAGACTGAGGAAGACTTAAGACAAGAAACAATGAGAGCTCTTAACATTTTCCCAGAGGTTAGCCATGTGTGGCATTGATGGAAACTCCACATGCGAGAGCACACTGTCCAATATGGCAGCCACTGGACATGTGGCCATTTCAACCTAAATTACCTGTATTTAAATAAAATTTGGAATTCAGTTCTTCAGTCATTTTAGCCACATTTCTATTTGTGCATTTATTTATTTACTTTTTACTGCTCATATTTAAGTGCTTAGAATTCTGGTAAGCTAACAAGTAATTGAAATATTAATCTTATGAAATGTTTGAAAGAGCCATTATGGAGAATATTCATAGCAAAACAGTTTCTGCCTTATTTTCCTAAGTGTTCTGCATATAAAATAAAACCCAGAACTCAAGATAAATGTGTGTATGCCTTTGAGTTAGTCATAGAATTTTTTAAGCAACACGTTTAATTCGATGTACTGTATCTTATAGCTATATCCATGTTTGAGTGTGCAAGTGTGTATGTACCTGTGTTTGGATGTCTAACAATGACGTTCCAGTATTTTTTTCTCGCGAACTCCATACTGGGAGTTTTAAAACCAGAGCCCTAATCTTGACTTAATTATTAATTTCCTCCGTGGCCTTGAAGAATTCCCTTAGCCTCTCTGGACCTTAACTTTCTGGATAAAGAAGTTGGCCTCTTCGTGTTCTCAACATTATCTGATTCTGTGATTTCTAGCTAAAGCTACATTTATACAAAAATATGAAGTGCTTTTGCAAAGTAAAGAGTAGAATAGTGGTTATCAGAGGCAGTGGGGGATGGAGAAGTTGACCAAATAATACAAAATTCCAGTTAGACAGGAGGAATAAGTTTTCAATATCTATTACACAACAAGGTGACCGTAGTTAATAGAAGTGGATTGTTGCCAGGCGTGGTGGCTCACACCTGTAATCCCAGCACTTTGGGAGGCTGAGGCAGGCAGATCACCTGAGGTCAGGAGTTTGAGACCAGCCTGGCTAACATGGTGAAACCCCATCTCTACTAAAAATGCAAAAATTAGCTGGGTGTGGTGACATGCACATGTAGTCCCAGCTACTGGGGAGGCTGAGGCAGGAGAATCGCTAGAACCCAGGAGGCAGAGGTTGCAGTGACTCAAGTTGGCGGCACTGCACTCCAGCCTAGGTGACAGAGCAAGACTCCATCTCAAAGAAAAGAAAAAAGCATTGTGCATGTTTTAAGTGTTAAAAAATTAGATTTTAAATGTTCTCGCTACAAAATGGATAAATCTGTGAGGTGATGGATACGTTGGTTAGCTTGATATAATCATTCCATGCTATATACATATATTAGAACAGAACATTGTACGTCATAAATAGGTGCAATTATTATTCATCAATTACAAATAAAAAATGCTTTTGCTAATAGGTTAGTATCCAGCCTGAAAAATAAGAGAGAGTCTACAAAGAATAAAAGTCCTTTGCTTTTTTAAATTAAAATGTTGCTGAGGATCTAGTAGCTGTTTGGGGTGGTTATCCCAGGAAGAGCAATGTGCTTGTGCAGATTCAGTTCCCACCACTTCTGTCCCCTGGAGACCCAAGCTGGGTGCTTCTCAGACAATTGGCAGCCTGTAGCTGAGTGAAGCCAGCTGCCCATCCAGGGTGGAGTTTGTGACCTTGTCCTCGTCAAACTTTGACCATCTCCACTAGCTTATTATGGGCAAGGACATCAGAAGACCAGCAAGGTTAGGAGGGGATGGAGACTTAAGTTCTTTTTAAAAATATTTTCTTCAGAACACTTAAAAGGTTAATCTAGATAGAAGTGAGATAAGACAGAGATATAAACACCAAACATACATATTTACGTATTCATAAACATGTGTCCCTGGGTTTTATTTATTTATTTTTATTTATTATTTTTTTCATTTTTGAGTCAGAGTCGGTCTGTCACCCAGACTGGAATGAGTGCGATCTCAGCTCACTGCAACCTCCACCTCCCAGGTTCAAGTGATTCTTGTGCTTCAGCCTCCCGAGTAGCTGAGCTGGGTTTACAGGGGTACACCACCACACCCTGCTAAATTTTGTATTTTTAGTAGAGACGGGTTTCACTGTTGGCCAGGCTGGTCTTGAACTCCTGACCTCAGGTGATCTGCCCACCTCGGCCTCCCAAAGTGCTGAGATGACAGGCATGAGCCACTGCGCCCAGCCAATTGTATTGATTTTTATGGTTACCTTTTGTTGAACGGAATCATTTCTTAATTTAAAAAATAAATAAATATACTTCTTATACTATCAGGGTTTAATTTCATTCTTTTGAAAAATATAGTGCATAGCAACATAAAATAAGGTAAATAATTTATTTCATGGTCATTGAGTCAACTAACAAAATGGCTTAACAATATTTTGGAAGGAAGTGACTATATTCTCACAGTTTTGTGTCTCAGGTTTTGTGTCTCATTAAATGTTGAATAACATGTTTCTAGAATCCGGAGGGGATTTGGTCCTTTGAGTCAGGGTGTTTTGACTGTCTTTGAAATATTTTATGCATTAAATATGCAGTATTCATAAAAGCTTTCCTAGCCTGTTTGCCCCAAATTGATCTTGGTTTCCATGCTTCTATTTGTCTTTTGGGATTTTGATTTGCTCTTTCACTTCTCTAGGGGACACCTGTGTTCGTGCATGCGGGCCCTTTTGCTAACATTGCTCACGGCAACTCTTCAGTGTTGGCTGATAAAATTGCCCTGAAACTGGTTGGTGAAGAAGGATTTGTAGGTAAGTTACTTCTTTTAAATTTAGTTGTTGTAGAATATTGAAGAAATCTAAAAGCTGATGACAAGAATGGAGTGATATCCATACTGACATAAAATCTATTCTTTCAGGCCCCCTCTTTCATAAATGGTTTCAGTAATGGAAAAGCCCTAAGGTCTGGTCTATGGAATTATGCTTGTGGTTGAATCATAGATTCTGGTATAAAGTCCATACGGGTTTGAGTATAAACTCTGACTCTTGCAAACTGAGTGACATTGTACACATTTTAATTACTACTGAACTTCAGTTTTCTTATGTGTGAAATTGTGGTAATAATATTGTATCAAACCTTTTAGGATTGTTATGAAAACTAAATGAGATACTTTAGTCATTCAGCAAATGTTTTTTGAGAAGACACCACTTAGAAGGCATGCTTCTGAGAGCTAGGGATCCAGTGGTAAGCAAAAGAGATAGGCGCAGTGGCATAGGCCTCTAAGCACAGCTACTCAGGAAGCTGAGGCAGGAGGATTGCTTGAGCCCAGGAGTTTTGTGTCCAGCCTGGGCAGCATAGCAAGACCCAGCCTCTGTGAAAAAAATAAAATTAAAACAACCAGCCTTAGCCCCTGCCCTTGTGGAGTGTACTGTCTAATGGTAATTTAATAAGAGAAAGTGCTCATTGACTGTCAGCCGTTACTACCCTTACTATGTAGTACTGATAACTTGAAGTCATGGGTTTATTTCCATATACAATTTCTCGTTGTTTTTTGTGAGCTAATGTAGGAGAGATTCCCAACCAGTAGACTTAGAAATGTTAATTGGTAGGACTGCACACCTTTTGCTGCTGTCAAGCTCTTTGTAGAACCTGTTCCTCTTTGGCTTTTCTTGCATATTCCAGCTAGAAAGAAGGGGCGACTCTCACAGAGTTTACTAAGTCAGTACCAGCCCCAGTCTCACCCATGATATTAAGGCAGCAAGGAAACAAAGGACAAAACCAAAATACAAGCATTCGTGGTGGAGTCCCTTAATCTGACATATGAGGGATTGCATTGGCAGACTTCCCGTGCTAACAGATAATTCCCGTTAACCTTACGTATGCCTATAGTCAGGGATAGCAATCTCTTCTTCACTCTTGTCATCAGTTTTGGATCAAACTCAAAAGAGTTATTTTATTAGAAAAGAGTATGCTGGACAACTTAGCACTGCATTTTATGCTCAGACATCACAAAGTTCATTCAGGGTTATTGAGACTCTTTTAAGAATTCCTCGTGGACCGGCAGTCAGAATCAGATGAGGTTTGATGGAGTTCCATTCCTCCACAATCTGTATTCTGCAGCTCTCATGTACTTTGCTGCTTCGTTAGCAAATCCACTGCAAGAGTGGCTAGATGTGCTGTCTAAGTGAATTTGCTCAATTGATCGCTGCCTAATTGTAGAGCTAATGGACGAGGAGGCTGGGTCAGGGCGGGCACTGGAAAGTTGGGTGCTTAAGTGAAGTGGTGGTTCTGATGCATCAGCTCTGCAAATAAAGTAGCTTCTAGGAGGAAGCACTCTATTTTATGTGATAGAGATCTCTGCCCGTACCAGTTTTTACTTTGTCAAACACATATTTATAAAATACATGTTATCATGGCAGAATATTTTTAAAGATATAAACGATGATGTATGCAAAATAAATGAGCTCTCTGTGTGACCTTGAACAAGCCATTAGCCTCTCTGGGTGTGTCCCTTGTAGACATTCTCATCTGAAAAATGAGAAGTTGGACCAGATGAGGAGTTGGATGTGGACGTGTAGCTGTGGACTCAGAGGTAGACGCTATGGAATTGGAGCCCTGACTGGCAGTGTGTTTTCATTTCTCTAGGGCTCAATTTTTTATTTAATAAAAAGAGAATACCTGTGTTACCTGCAGTATTTTAATGAATAGGATCAAGTGAGAAAATGCTTTGTAAAATCTGAACTATGTGCAGGTCAGCAATTACACTCATTCTTTCTATGATCTCATCTAGTCTAAGATGCCATAAGAGGGGGAATTTTTCATGAGGATGAAATCTGTCCATTGCCAGATGATTCAGAGGGCAAGCCCTAACCTCAACTGCTTTCAGATAACCTTGGGCACATGAACACTTCTCTTCCTTGGTTTCCTTACCTGTAAAACAGGGCTTTGGACAGGGCTTCCCTCTCGAAAGGACTTGGTAGGTTTGAAATGAGGCATGAATGAGATCACAGGGTTGAGTGCTGGCACCTGACACATGGTAAGACTCAATCCTTCTTGGCCACTCCTGGCTATCATTGTTACCCCCACTATTGACACACTACTGATGAAGGTTACATTTTCTTTTTTATTTAGATCCTTTTATTTTTTGGATGATTTTATTTATAGTTGTTATAAAATACACATAACATAAAAGTTACCATCTTCACCATTTTTGAGTGTACTTTCAGTAGCAAAGTACACCCACGTTGTTGTGCAACCATGCTGCAAAACCAAAGTCCCATGCCCATTAAATATTCCTCATTCCCCTGTCCCCAGCCCCTGGCAGAAGTCTTCTACTTTCTGTCTCAATGAAGTTGACTCCTGGATACCCCATGTGAGTGGAATCATGCAGTATTTGTCCTTCTGTGACTGATGTATTTCACTTAGCATAATGTCCTCAAGGTTCATCCATGTTGCAGCAGGCGTCAGAATTCTCTTCCTTTTTAAGGCAGAATAATATTCCATCATATGGATAGACCTTACTTTGTTTATCCACTCATCCTTCGTTGGACATTTAACTTGTTTCCACCTTTGGCTCTTGTGAATAATGCCGCTATGAACATAGATGTACAAATATATTTTAATGTCTAAAACTCATGCTGTATGATGTCTAAATTTGTGATGGCAATGACTTATATTCGTAAATACATACCATGGAACTCTAGCCCTGTAATGTTGAACTCTCCTGAAGGTGGTGTGTTCATGTTGTGGCTCTACTGCAATGCTGGTGGCAAAGCCAGTGTATTGGACAGTGGGAATGGGGCATGGTCAGGAGACAATGTTCTTTCCTCATTACTTGGTCAAGCCTGTAGTGTGGGACTGGTTCATTCCTTGCCCTTGGATGAAGTTTATAACAGTTTCCCCTCATTCTCAGTTAATATCTAGTCCCTCTAACATATGTATTTTTTAATTCCTGTAGTCACTTTCAATCATAAGAGTAGCCCCTAAAATTAAAAATGCACATCCAGTTTTATATCAAAACCAAAAACTCCAAGTGTCTCTCAGACTTGAGCTCCTCTCCTCCCCGACATGGGCCTCCTCTGGCTGACAGTGGGAAGGGGAAGGTGGCTGCTTGCTTCTCTGTCACCCTCCTCTTGCACTTAGGCTGGCCCTGGCCCCTCCTAGGTTGAAGCTTTGGCATGAGATGGTGCCCATGTAGCCTCTGCCAGCAGAAGTCCTCACACTTTTGGCAGAAGCCCTCTGAGCAGTACCTCATTTAGACTTTCCTACCTCTGGTTCCACACCTGGTCTCGGGTACCAGAGACCTCTGACCTCTGGCTGGGGACACACCTTGAGCCTTGCCAACTGGTCTTCTGGTCCTCACTTGTGGCTTAAGAAAAAGAAAAGGGGGAAGTAGGGAGGCTGAGGCGGGTGGATCACTTGAGGTCAGGAGTTCAAGACCAGCCTGGCCACCATGGTGAATGTCATGTGTGTCTGTGTGAAGAGACCGCCAAACAGGCTTTGTGTGAGCAACAAGGCTATTTATTTCACCTGGGTGCAGGTGGACTGAGTCCGAAAAGAGAGTCAGCGAAGGGTGGTGGGATTATGGTTAGTTCTTATAGATTTGGGATAGGGGTACAAAGTACATTCTTAAGGGCCAGGAAGAATGTTACAAAGTACCTTCTTAAGGGCAGGGCAGACTATATTGTATCAGTTAGGTTGGGGCAGGAACAAATCACAATGGTGGAATTTCATCAGTTAAGGCAGGACCTAGTTATTTTCACTTCCTTTATGGATCTTCAGTTGCTTCAGGCCATCTGGATGTATATGTGCAGGTCCCAGGGGATATGATGGCTTAGCTTGGGCTCAGAGGCCTGACAGTGAAACCCCATCTCTACTAAAAAAACAAAAAAAAAAATTAGCCAGGCGTGGTAACAGGCACCTGTTAGCCCAGCTACTTGGGAGGCTGAGGCAAGAGAATCACGTGAACCCCGGGAGGGGGAGGTTGCAGTGAGCCGAGATCGTGCCATTGCACTCCAGCCTCGGCAACAGAGAGAGACTCTGTCTCAAAAAAAATAATAAAAATAAAAATAAGAAAAGGGGAAAGTAGCTTTGCATCCTCTTCACTGGGCGCTGCGAGGGGAGCTGGATGTGGCACACTGATAACTTTCTTTGAAGAAATTCTTTCCCATGTTCTAACCTGTCAACCCTTTTGAAGCCTCAATGGGCTAAGGCATGCAAAATCTGTTTCAAACTGCTTTGCAAACCCTGCCAGTTCGGCCAGCACCATCCTTTGGCATGTGCGCAAACTGACACCGATTTGAGGCCTGAAACAAAAGTGAGACAAAAAGACCTTGATTTCAACATCCTTCTACAGAAGCTAAATGCAGTAGGCACATCTGAGGTGTTTCTGAAGTCTGAGCAGGAATTCATGCTCTCCAGAAAGTTGTCGTTTATAGTAGACTATCTTTATGATCTCATAACAGGAAAGGATCTCTTAAAACGTGAAAAGCTCAAACCAAAGAGAAAAATATTGATAATTTGGGCTGCGTTAAAAAGTAAACTGTATGTGATAAAAGATACAAGGTTAAAAAACAACTGACAGATTGGAAGGAAACATTTGCAAAGATAATAGACAATGATTAGCATTGAGAATATGTAAAACACTAAAGACTAAAGACTGATAAGAGAAAGACAAATAATCCAATACAAAAATAGAGAATTTGAAAAGGTGATTCGCAGCAAACGAGCAATTTGGTGGAATTTCTAGGTAGAACTGAAAATGAACAAATGATTAGCAATTTCACTTCTATGTATACTCTGGAAAAGAAGT